GTTCCCTGACACAATTTTAAGCAAACGACAGGCATGATGCAAAAATTTGTATGTGCATCAACTTGCGCACCTGTTTTGAATGAACCTTGCTTCTTCTTCAAAACATTTTTTCCAAAATTCTCATAAAAGTACAGCTACACTCTTGAAGGTACTTCTACACCCAAATTCTCTGCTCTTCCTTTCTTTCTGTTCATTTCAGGAACTTAACAGCTTCAATGCTATGTGCATTCTAGGCCCTCTTTCCATTCACATTACGCCACGTTTGTCTCACTGGAATTGTCCTTTCCGCTGCCGTGATGGACGCTCTTGTAACTCTTACAAATCTTCGCCACCTCGAATTGATGGGCAGCGTTATCGACACGCAGCTTGCGGCCGAATATGTAGACAAACTCGGTAAGTTCGAATTGAAGGTGTTGCATGCATGTCACTGGCGGTCAAAGATTTCTCTGGAGAGGAGAGAGGAAAATGGGAAGTTGATCGGGAACGGGGTTATAACGGGTCCCAACTACACCCTTTTTTAATCATTCAAATAAAGTTCTCCTATCATACATTTATCAAATTTTAGAAAGAACTTTAAAAAATGTACAAATAGTTTTCACGTAGAAAAATAAGTCAACTCTTACTCGAAACAAATTTGTAGCCCCTTCTCCTCAATTTGTCTCACCAGCCAATACTGCCGTCCGACTGACGAAGCCTCAGAAGCAAGGAGTTCTGCCTTTTCAGGTGAAATGTCGAACTTGGATGAGCTTAGCGTGCCACCTTCAATGTTTTCCTTTTCTATGAAGGATGAAAACAACAAACCCCTAAACATGAGGTACAGCCTTCTACAAAAGTGCAACCATAAATCTGATTACTAAATATCTCACTCAGAAAACTACATTTATCGAAAATTTCCATCTTTATGGAATGCTTTGATGAGAACAATTTCTTTGATTGTATCGAAACTATAATGCCAAGAAAACTCGAAGCCCTTACACTATATGGAAATTTCTATCAACTCAAGCGCTCGAAGAAATATGGTCAATGGCGAAAGTTTGAGGTTAGCAGCATGAACTATTACATCTGTAAATTGCTTCTTAATCCCTTTACACAGATACTATTTGGCTCGATGACTCCTCAAGTACGCACGCCCTGGTGGCTAAAAGATGACAGCATACTTATGTCACACTTAGTACGCTGTGCACCTTATAAAATCGCGGACGATTTTCGACCTTTAAGGAGTACGGTATGATGAATTCACTTGGATAGTATATCTACTTGAATAGTTCAGCGAGCAAAAATTACATCAATTTTTGAACCAGTTCCTT